GTCTAACATTCTTGTCGTATTCTTGATCCCAACAAGAGAGCATTGCAGTACTTTATATAGGCAGCTGACCTTTCTATTGTAATATCTTTCCTCTTATAGATTCTTCCTTCAGTCCAAATAAGCAACATCTGAATTAGCACTGCTGACTCACTAAGTCTCAATTTTGTCTGTTACAGTGGATGGGTCCAGGCACAGCCATATATTTATTCAGATCCCAAAAAAGATCGCTTTAAAATTTCTGGGCCAATTTGGTATATGCAGTTGTTCAGACTCAACCCAGTGACCCTTACTGAAGGTCCTAACCAAAGGCACAACACTGTCAGTTAAAATTCCTCAGTGATGTTACCTGCTAAATTAGAGGTGTCATAGTTTTTTTGTTTTTTGGGTTTTTTTTGTGGGACCCTCACCGGTGGCTGGGGAATGAACCAGCGCTGCAGAGGCTGCGAGCAGCTGCAGAGGCTGCTTGCAGCCTCGCAGCCCAGTGCTCAACCGCTGCGCCACCAGGGGAGGCCCTGTCATAGATTTTTCATTTCCTTTTTGCCTCAGTCTTTTCTCCTGGCTTTCCAGCCTTCTCCTTATTTATTTATTTATTTTTTAAGATTTATTTATTTATTTATACAAGCACTGGGTACAGTCAGAAGTGCGGGGAGGGTGAGAGAATTCACTAGAGCCAGAGCAGGGAGCAGAGCAGGCAGAAGGACCGAAGTACACTGCTGAGGGGAGCAGCGGGCGGCAGGAGAGGTCTGCGCGCCATGTGGGACCCTCCTCCGGTGGCTGGGGAGCAGCTGGGAATGGAACCAGCGCTGCAGAGGCTGTGGGCAGCTTCGCAACCCAGCGCTCAACCGCTGCACCACTGGGGAGGCCCTCCTTATATTTTAAAGTATAGTGTTGACTACTAAAATCAGACTCTGCTAAGAGGACTTTGGACAATCATTGTGCATCTCAAAATTATAGCCAGGCTTGATATATTCTTTTAAACATAACTCGATAAGTCCTTTGGTCCTATTTGCAATACTTTCTGTTGCTGTGGGAAGAAGTAGACTTTAGAACCAGAAACAGACCTGAATTTAAATCCCAGCTTCATCATTTAATAGCTCTAGTTACTTAACCTTTCTGTTTCTTCATCTATCAGAGGGTGAATTCATCCAGAAATGACGATTTTCATAGTGAGGTTGTGAAAAATTAGTCACTTGTTAAAGTGACTAGTGCAGTACCTGGTAAATGGTGAACAACACACTAATGTGAGTTTTCCTATAATTTTGCTAACATAGGCGATAAAATGCTAGACTAGACAATGGATCTGGTCAAGTGAGTGGTTTTTATGTTCTTTCTAAACATGCCTGCTTTTTAAGTTTTTGAATAGCATAATGCAAAATAGAAGTTCCTGAGTCACCTGGTTTCATTTAGTAAATTTTTAGCTTTTTAACTGAACGTCTGTTATGTGCCAGAAACTATGAGAGATACAGAACTAAGTAACAAATTTTTACCGCCGCTCCCCCCCCCCCCAGCAAGGAGCGCATAGTCTAATGGAAAAGACAGATGACTGAACATTTTTTGTTTAATGGGAACAAAAGAGGAATGATAGCTAAACATACTCTAGCCGTCAAGGGAAAACTTTGACACTTGCCCTGAGTGTGGACTCCTATTGACAAGATTTACAAAGGCACGAAGGCTACAGAAAGTGTGTTATGTTCTAGAAACTCCGACTAGTTTTGAATTAATGGAGAGAAAGATGAGTATGGAGATATGGCAGGTGAAGCTGGAGAGAAGAAGTTATACCTTAAAATAGTTCTAGGTCTTACTAGGATCTGAACTTTAACCCAAAGAACCATTAAAGGGTTTTAAACTGGAAAATAGAATTTTCAGTGTTTCATTTTAGGAAAAAACACTTTAGCAGCAGAATAAAGGATGCATTCAAAGAAAGTTTGTGATGAGAAGGAAGAAAGAGAAGAAAAATAGTTTAGGACATTATTAGTAAGCTGAGTGAGGCATTCTGAGAACATAAATGACAGTAGTAAATGTGGAAATAGAAACAAGCAGATGGATACGGGAGATATTAAAATGGAATAGAAATGACCTGATGATGTAATCTATGGGGTTTGGTGGATAAATTTAATGAGGGTATTAAAGGTGATTCTCAGGATTCTGGCATGAAGACAGGAGGGGTGATTGTGCCATTTTCCTATATAATAGAAATGACGAAGGAAGTTGGAGTGGCAGGATCAGGCAGCAGCCGAGATGAATTTATTTTGGGGCATATTGCATTCCATATGCCAAGGGGATGCCCGGTAAGCTGTTGACTGTGTTGTTCAAGGGATCTGGGCAACAGAGCCAACTGGAGAGGCTGACTTGACCAAATGTGAGAGTATTATAAGTGGCAGTCCATCCAGCTGTTACCAGTTTTCCTTTTATTTCCAACAACTAATACATATTAGATGATCAGTAAATATTTGCTGAATTGATAACACAGCTTTTACTTTTGGACTCCCCTGTATGTGCTTGGACAGAAACTGATTGATCTATCTCATTTTATGCAGCAATAAGCAACTTTGGGCCAGGTGGTGCCGACCTAAGCAATGTTTAATTCACAAATGGCTTCCTGATCACAGACAACCACTTATCACTTGAGCGACTAGGACAAAATTGGCTTTTACTTGATTACCTTAGGATTTTCCTGGTTATTAATCAGCCTTCTCAGTTGTGACAAAATTATTTGGAGAAGTCATGAATTCCTCTCCATGTGAATGGATTTGGATACGATATTCAGTGTTATTAAAATTGAATAGATTATTAAATTGCTAGCATAGAGCAATTTGAAAAAGCCTAATTTGTTTATTACCAGCTGATCCATTTTTGGACAATTCCATAACAGCTTGTCTGACTCAAAAAAAAAAAAAAAAACAGTGAAATAAGTGCTCTGGAAAGTAGTACAGTATGTTAATAACATAACAAATTAATTCTAGTGACCCCTAGGCCCTAGCATATTGTAGGTGCTCAGATAATGTTAGCTAAATTATTTTTTTAATTTATTTATTTATGCATACAAGAACTGGGGTATAGGCCAGAATTGGGGGGGTAAAAGGATCCACCCGAGACAGAGTGTGGAGCTGAACAGGCGGCTCGACTGAAATACACTGCCAAGGGGAAGCAGAGGGCGAGTCAGGAGAGGTCTGCTACACCATGTGGGTCTCTCCCTGGCCGGGGATCAAACTCGTGCTGCAGTGGCTGTGGACAGTTTCATAGGTTGCCTCCTAATCCCTTGTGCCAGCAGGGAGGCCCCTTAGCTAAATTACTTTAGAATTCACAGGGTTTATATACACATGTTCCTGTGTTTGAGCCTCGGAACCGTGAGTCAAGCCAAAGTAGTATTCTCATTTTAAATATAAGGAAATTCATATATACTTGGCAAGAATATTTTATGTATTTCTGATATATCTACAAACAGAGACAGTCCTTTTTGTCATCTCTCATTTCCGTTTTTCAGGTCCTGAGTAATATTTATAACCAGGCAATGAGAGACCTGCCTATCTGAGTTCAGTTTGAGAACTGAGATACTCCTTGAATGTTTGCAATGCTCTTGAATGTTTGCCGTGGCTTAGAAGTACCATCAGCCCGAAATTCTTGAGAGCAGTGTATCTTTTCTTGCCTTACTAGCCCAGTGTAAGCGGGTTTACAAATTAAAGAGCAGCAGTGATTTTTAAAATAGAATGCACACTGCGTGGTTTCACTACTGAGATGGAAGCTGGTGCAAGCATATGTCGTTTACTCCAGGAACACCTTTTTAAAAGATTCCCTCATGAGGTGTCTGTGAATGTACTATGGCAAGAGGTTGATTTCAGACCTGAGTGGCTTATTTACAACTTTCTGGTCATCACAGAGGTTACTTTTTACAACATTTGGCTTCTGTTCAATTGTTCATTTTTCAGGCAGCCCATAATTTTTTCCTACTTAGTGTGAATTCCTTCTCTTCCACCTTTATTGCCTTTCTTTAAACTTGAGGAGTTGGTCCTTCTGCTGGGATGTTGTCTTCTCGCCCACGTTGTCTTGGAAGTACTTATTTTAGAACTGTTTTCCTGTGGTGTAAGGCAACTGTTTTCCTGTGGTGTAGCCTGGGAGGCAACGCTCTTTGTTTCCAGGATTTCTCTCTCACAGGGCTCAGAGATGGCGTGTCATTAGTCTGTGAAGAGATACGGCTCAGCTGCTGGGTCACTTTTATCCTGTTTACAAATACATGTTTCACTGTTTTTTGATATTATAATTCATGCCATGAAAATGACAGGAATAAATGTGTGTTGGATATGCTCAACTCTAAATCCCTGCCAACCAAAGACTAGATTTTAGCTTCTTTTAGGGTCTAATGTATGTGTGGTTTGGAAATCTGAAACATTTTCCAGTGTGCATAGTAATGAGTTAGGTATTTTGGAGTACAGGGAAGCCCATGGTAATGTGAAGTACTTGGCACTGTGTGAGGTACATTGAAATTATTTCTCAGATTAGCAATGTTATAGAAATATGACCTAAATGAGATTGGAACAACTTAAGCTGCTGACATCTTTTTTTTTTTTTTAAGATTTCTTTATTTATGAATATAAGAACTTAGGTGTACGCCAGAGGTGTGGGGGGTGAGAGAATTCACCAGAGAGAGAGTGAGGAACAGAACAGGCAGACTGACTGACAAACACTGCTGAGGGGAGCAGCGGGCGAGGCAGGAGAGGTCTGCTGCGCTATGTGGGTAGCTCCCTGGCTGGGGATTGAACTTCTGCTGCAGTGGCTGCTGATAGCTTCATAGTGCTGAGACTTAACCCCTTATACCACCAGGGAGGCCCTGCTGTTAACATCTTTAGTGAACAGTTCTTCCTTTTGATAAGCTAAGATTCTTGGTTTATATTAGTATTAATATTTGTGAGACCTCTTAACAATCATTGTTAATTCTCAGAGTTCATTATATTCCCCATTTATTCCTAATCTTCTTGCTTTTGTATGTGTTCATTCATTTGTAGAATATAAATGGCATTCGCACAGAGGAGGTGGCTGCTGTGGCCAAGGAGCCATCTACCAACCTCATCTCTGAATGGGAGGGCCCCAAGCAGTCAGTAATTCCTAGTAAGAACCAAATGGCCACCCCATCGGAGTCTCCACAAAGCACTGACTTTGGTTCCCTCTCCATAAACAGCAAGGAGGCTGAACAGAAGGCGCAGGGGGCAGCTGGCTCTCTTGATATTAAGGAAATGCCAAGAGACCCAAGAGGGGAATGTATAGGAGTGGAGGAACAGGCCAGTGCCTTAAAGTTCTCAGTAGCATCAGCTTCCTCTCGGCTGCAACTTGATGGAAAAAAGGCAGAGAGTAGTGAAGAACATGTAACACCAGGAGAGCCTCTTGGAAAGCAAAATGGATTTCTTGACTCTTGTGTGGGTAACCAGTTCTCCACCCTCATTCGAAGTTTCCAGGTAGTAACTGCTACAGTGATAAAGATCCAATGACTTACTTGGGAGAGGGCCAGAATCTGTTCTGTGTAGGAGGTGGTGGTGGTGGTGGTGGTAGTAGTGGTAGTGGTGGTGGTGGTGGTGGTGGTGTGGTGATGGTGGTGGTAATAGTAGTAGTGGTGGTGACGATAGTAGCCTCTGCTTTTTTTTCCCCAATTCACAGAATAAAATCGGAACCCTTGAATTACTTCTGAGACATTTATTCAGAGATATTAACTCTGTGGCTACAAATGCTTTCTCCCCTTAACAAAACTAGTGGGAGTGAGGCCATCTTTATATCTTTATGAAGCCAGTGTAAGTGTGTTCCTCTTTCCCTTGTTCTTATATCTGAAGAGGTGAATTTCTGAGACATCTGTGATGAGGAGCTTCAGTGTTCTGAGACCATGCTCAAACTTACAAATGCTTTCAAGTAAAAGGGGTAACTGATGTTTTTAATGAGTTTTCAGGCCCCAAATAATTATTTACACCTTGCTCCATATAGTACACTGCCCACCACTCCCACTGCCCCCACTCACCCGGGCTTCCATGATCACAGTCACTAATCTCCTGTGCTGAGGTGGGTGCCACTTAATTTATTACAATCAAATAGAAGTTTTAGGGTGATTTATCATCTTGGGGAAGGTGAGCTGTTAGACAAGCAGCCTGTGATATTTTACTACTTTCGTTCTTCTGAAATTCTGAGATTAATCACCAGGTGGTGGTTGAACTGATTATTTTCTTTCCAGTTTCCCAAATGCTGTTTCTTCTCAATAATCCAAAGTGAATGTCTGACATTGATTTGAAAGAAGTTAATGAATTCCAGAGCATTCCAGTGCCACTGCTGTTTCCTGTACCATTCGTACTTAGTGGAGAAAATGTGACTGATTTTCTTAATGATAATGGTACAGTCACAAGGACAAACAAAAGTCACCGCTGTTTGGCAAATAGTTTTATATTCAAATTCTGAAGGTCAGTCTGAGGTGGTTTATATCACCAATCATAATTGATTTTCTGGCTTTGCATTAAGCATATGGAAGTGATTGCAGTGATGCTGTTCTTTAATATCCCTCATGCTTTCATACCGTCTTGTCGGGGCCTCTGTGGAGTGATGTCCAAGTCTTGGGCAGAGATGGAGCTAGCCCTTTGCTTTCTTAGATCTGTCACTTTGCTCAAATCAATGTCAGAAGATTAGCTCTCCACAGCCTTCAGTAGTGACTCCTATAACTGTTTCTTTACTGCTTCACAGCCTCCCCTGGTGAAGACTCAGACGGTCACCATCTCAGATACTGCCAATGCTGTGAAAAGTGAAATCCCAACCAAAGACGTCCCCATTGTCCACACTGAGACCAAGACCATCACTTATGAGGCTGCCCAGGTAGGACTCGGCTGGATGCTTCAGACCCCAAGGCTGGCATGAACGTGATAAATTACCTTCTTTCCTCATGGGGTTTCTAATCGGGTGCTGTAAATAAATGCTTAGTTCTTCTGGGACAGTTCTTTTTAGAAGAGGTGACAAGATTATAGAACTGTGACTAGCCCAAAAAGTACTTTAATAAAAGCAAAATTGTCTGGGATCTGACTACTTAGATCCACTCAGTACTGTTAGGGAATGCAGTCTAGTACGATGGTTAGGAACACTGGCTTTGTGTCAGACAAACCTGAGTTCAGGTCCTGGCTTCTCGATTTACTAACTTAAGCAAGTAGTTGAATGTTTCTGAGCCTTAATCCCACCAAACTCCCTCCACACCATGAGGTTAGTGCCATGATTTTGTTAGGAGGATTATATAAGATATAATACTGTGTGGAACTTACGTGAACATCATATCTGATACCATAAAAAAACTGTCATAATTATAATCAAATTAATATAATTAAAGTCACATAAGAATTTATTTAGGGCCTCCCCGGTGGCGCAGCGGTTGAGCTCTGGGTTGCGAAGCTGCTCGCAGCCTCTGTAGCGCCGGTTCGACCCCTGGCCTCCGGGTGAGAGTCCCACATGGCGCGCAGACCTCTCCTGCCGCCCGCTGCTCCCCTCAGCAGTGTATCGTCAGTCTGCCTGTACTGCTTCCCGCTCTGGCTCTGGTGAATTCTCTCACCCTCCTGCGCTTCTGACTGTACCCAGTGCTTGTATAAATAAATAAATAAATCTTTTAAAAAATTATTTAAAATTTTTATTTACTTCCTACTTTCAATAAAATTTCTCCTTCATTTTCAGTAGTTTGAATGAACTGGGATGGCTTTATACTTTAGTTCATTTGTTTTTCTTTGCTTTTTTTTTATTCGTAGAAGCCCAAAATAAGAAAAACATTTCTCTCTCTAAACTGAGCTGTTAATTCATTCCTGTAACAAATTTTTGTTAAGTATTTCTATATTAGGCCAAGGCCACGTACATGGTAAACATAGGCCCTACCCTTCAGAATTACCTTCTAGTAAGGAAAGACATGCATGCAGTAAAAGACTTAAACAAACGCATAAATTTCAGGCATTGATAAGTGCTATAAAGAAACTAAAACAGGATAAAGAGTCAGTCCTTATGGGATCACATGAGAGGTATCTACTTTGGGGCTGAAATAGTCAGCAGAATTCTGATTAGGTACCATTTCAGCTGAAGCCTGCATGATGGGGAAGCAGCGGGTGAAGCTCTGGCCAGGTAATTTCATATCCTTTCAGTTCATCTTCACATCACCATGAATTGGATGATGATACTCTCCTTCAGGAAACAGTGCAGCTTGTCAATGAAAGGCATTTACTTTGCAGTTAGACAAACAGGCATGTATCCTAACTCATGAACCAAGTGGATAACTTTAAATAAATTGCCAGTGTCTCCAAGTCTCTGTTTCCTTGGCTGTAAAATTGGAATAATAATACCTACCATTAGAGAGAGAGAGAGAGAAAAGGAAAAAATACTACCTACCATCACAAGATTTGGTGTATTCATAGACATTCAGTTAACACTAGTCTGCTTCCCCCTTCTTTCTTGTGGTCTGGGGTGTGAAATTTGAGTTTGGTAAATAATAAAAAATTGCCTGAAGTTTTTAGTACTGGTAATAAAGAGGCATAATTAAAGCACTGATTTTGGAGGATGATTCATAAAGCTGTGTGCTGAATACAATAAGGTGGGGGAATGCCTGGAGATAAGAATAGGACTTTGGCAGATCTGAGGAGAAGCTTGTAGAGAACTGAAGTGCAGCCTGAGGAATGAGGAGAAAGCTTTGCCAAGAGCAACAGAATTGAATGAATAAGACTCAACAGTGAAGGGCTTTGAAAAAGGAAGGAATCGGAAATTACTTTAAGATTGTGCACACTCTTAGCCAGAGGACATAGGCAAAGAATTACCTACCTTTGAGAAAGAACCCTTTAAGTCATCACTATCATGGAAACAACTGAAATGTTCCCTCAATAGGGAACAGGTTAAATAAATGATGGTACCTTTTTTTTTGTTCTGATGGGAATAATGTGCATGATAAATTAGTAAATGAAAAAGCACAGTATAATGTAGCATAAATGACATGCCACTATGCAGAGGAGGGAAAATGCTCTACAGGAAATATAGTTCTGTGTCCTTGATGTGCGTAGGGAGATGCTATTTCTGATCAGGCCCTCAGAAAACAAGGCACCCAGGGGTGGCCTCCGAGGAAGGGGTCTTGGGCTGCAGCACTGTGGTCAGGGGTGGGAAGGAGACTGACCTTAGACCATGCACCAGCTTAATGGCCTCAGAGTGTGCATCTAAGTTAAGTCATCACTACCAAGAAGTTACCTAAATGTCCATCAGTAGGGAACAGGTTAAATAAATTATGGTACATTCAAGAAGATAATGGTATTCTTTTGGGAATAATCTACATGATAAATTGGTAAATTAAAAAGCTAAATACAGTATATGGTGTGGGTAATATGTAGGGAAAAAGTGCCTGGCACATAATAAGCACTAGATTATTATTTGCAATTGTTATTATTCACCATAACGATTTCTGCTTCTGTTGTTATTATCCTGACCAACAAGTAAAGCCCAGGAACTTTCTTTTTTTGGTCCACCATTCCCACGCCTTGAGTAACGTGGCGAAAGGAGATGGGAATCGAAGCAGGATTGTGTTTGTGTGTACATGCCTGTATGTGTGCCCCAGGTAAAGTGTGCAGGTGGTGAAATACACAGATTATACATGATCCATTTGATTTGTTTTGACAGATGTACATACCTGTGTTACCAGGACACATTCGGGATAGACATTTCCATTACTCCTGAAACTTTCTTCACAGTCTTTTCTAGTCGGTCCTCCCTCTCTGGGCACTGATTTCTCCATCGCTTAGTTCTGCCTGTTCCTGGACTTCATATAAATGGAAGTCTACAGCAGTACTCTTTCGTAGTTGTGTTTTAGATTCATCCATGTTGTTTGAACTCATAGCTCATTGTTTTTTACTGCTGAGTAGTACTCTAGTGTATGAATGTAAAGTGTTTATCCTTTCACCTCTTGATGGACACTTGACGTGATTCCAGTTTGAGTCAAATGTGAATAAAAGTGCTATAAACATTCATGGACAAGTCTTGCTGTGGACATAGGCTTTCACTTATCTTGGGTAAATACCTAAGAGTGGGAAGGCTGGGTCGTAGGGTAAGTGTATGTTTAACATTATAAGCAATTGTCAAAGCCACAGTACCATTTTGAGGAAACACGGGCAAGAGGGTCAAAGAAGAGAGGCCCCATGTGGGAAGAGTGTAGATCAGAAATCATAATATTGTCCCTTCCATCTTCCAACTTCTTCAGAGCTGGAAAAGGGTCGTGGGAGGAAGAAAAAGAGTCACAAGTTTAGTAAAGGAGGAGCCCTTCAAAATGGGTTAGCCTTCCTGACACACAAATGAATTTCCTTATAATAATTTATAAAGTATTTTTGTGTCTAAATCCTTTTCACCTTCACAACAGTACTGTTTTGTACACAGAGCACATCAGGATTGCCTGTTATAAATGGGAAAACCAAAGCTTAGAAGTCAGAATGGGGCCTCCCTGATGGCCTAGGGGTTAGGTCTCAGCATTATCACTTCAAAGGCCCACCATGCAGACCTGAGTTCAATCCCTGACCAGGGAGCTGACCCACATGGCACAGCAGACCTCTCCTATCTCACCCGCTGCTTCCCCTCAGCAGTGTATTTCAGTAAATCCACTTGCTCTTTGCCCCACTCTGTCTCTGGTGAATCCTCTCACCTTCCCCCCAACCCCAGCACCTCTGACCTACACCCCAGCTCATCTACACAAAAATAAATAAAAAGTCTTTTTTAAAAAAGTCAGAATGGCTTGCCCACTAATCACCATCTGAGCTGAGACCCACACCCCTGTCTTCAGACAAGTTTCTTGCCCTAAGTCATAGTTGAAACACTTACTGCTTTAGAACTTTTTTTTTTTTTTAAAGATTTTTATTTTTATTTATTTATGCATTCAAGAGCTGGGGTGTAGACCAGAGGTGCAGGGGGTGAGAGGATTCACCAGAGACACAGTGAAGAGCAGAACAGGCAGAGCTACTGAAACACACTGCTGAGGGGAGCAGGGGGTGAGGTAAGAGAGGTCTGCTGTGGGGCCAGCTCCCTGGCCGGGGATGAACTCCTGTCACAGTGGCTGGTGACAGCTTGATAGCACTGAGACTTTAATCCCTGCGTCACCAGGGAGGCCCCTACTTTAGAACTTTGACAACTAAATTAACCTCTCTGGACGTCAGTTTTCTTAACTCTGCAGTAAGTGAAATACTAGAACCCATTTCAGATGGTGAAGGATATAGTTGAGATAACAGTTGCATTATGTAACCGGTACCTGGCAGGACTACAGTAAATATTTCTTGAGTCTGAATCTAAGGAGCTAAGGGGCCTGGGCTGAGGGGTGCTAGTGGGCCAGCCAGTCACACATCTGGTATGTTGGTGGCATGTGTGTAACACTACAGCTTCTCAGTCGTGTCCTTCTCTTTCCTTCAGCCTCCTATCTGGACGGGAACTCAGCCAGGGACTCTTCCTAATTCTCTTCTCCTCCTCCTGTCCTCCCACCACCAATATCTCGAAGTTTTAGCTCAGTAAATGTGGTCTCCTCCTGTTCATAAAAAGTTCGGAGTCCCTGCTTATAATACAAATGACTTACATAAAAAGGCAGAGAAAGATAGTAACCAAACATTTTTACTGCAGGGTTCTTTATGACAATAATTGCAGTTCTCCAGCTCCCCCTCTAAGACAGTGTGCAGTACCCGTGCCAGGTATTTAAATAGGTTGCTATTATCTGAGAAGCACGTTGCTGGAGGCAGACTCCATCCTCCTACTCTTGGTTGTTTCCATCTTGTTCATGGGGTTATCAGCCACTCAGAGTTTACCAACGGCCAAAATGATTGCTGATAATGTTCTTCAGACTGTTTGGCCCCTGCCAACCATCTCTTCCCTTTTTGCTAATGTTATTTCTCAGCCTCATCATAATATAATTTTGTAGCCATAGAGTAAGCTCTAGAGAAACAAGAAATAGCCCTGCTCCCCATTCCCTATATAGATTACTTATAATCTAACATTTTAAATACTTCTATACCTCTCTTAATAAGGAGACCCCATTTCACTAATAGTTATATTGTCACAGTGTCATTAACACATGTGCGCCTTAAGGGACAATTCCTACTTTGTTGGCACCAGTCTCCCATTTCAGTCTTCTGAGAAGGTTGCCTGAGACTCCCTGGCCTCTTCAACTCCAGCAAGGATCTTTCCCAGTCCTTTCTGGAAAGTTCTGCCTTGTGATTCAGAACCTACCCATGCCTTAGCAGTGAAGAGTTTTCAGTTTTCCCACCTTGGGAAGTATGGTGAGAACACCATATTTGTAGCAAGGACAGGTGTCACTTACTGCTTTTATTCTTGGAAAAATCATTCACCTTTTCTGACTGATTTTTCTTACCTGGAAGTGCTAATAAATCTCTGCCCCATTTATTTTTTAGTAGTTGTGTGAGCATCAGGAAAAATAATGTTTTGGAAGGTATCTGTGAACTATTAAGGCTGTACACATGTGTGTAATTAATATCCCTCTTGTTGAACTATCTACACTCCAGCCTCCCCTTTCTGATCCACTCTCATTGACCCAATGCTAGGGAAATTGGGCCCATTCAACTTCTTTAAATGGAGTCTTATTTCCAGGAAATTTATTAATTCAAGATCAGCGCAAGGGAATTGGGCTTTTGCTTTAGGGTGGACAGCTGAAGAGCAGAGCTGCATCCTGCAATATTGGCCCCCAAAACTTCCTGAGAGGCCTGGTGATGAGCTATGTTTCCTTCTGCAGGCTGATGACAGCAATGGGGATTTGGACCCAGGAGTCTTGCTGACCGCTCAGACCATCACCTCCGAGACCACAAGCAGCACCACCACAACTCAGATTACCAAGGTAACAGCAGCTAGACCTTCTTCCTGGGATCTGTTCACATGCCAGGCTAGCTGCCTCTGCAAGAAGGACCCCAGCCTCAAAGCAGGGATTTTCATCCCTACAGAGCCAAATTATTCCAAGTGTCCTAGGTGACGTTGCCCTGCTGCTTCCTCCAGCAGTGAACCCAGGCGTGTTCCTGCCTGCTTATAGTCTCAAAAGTCACATGTGTTTGTTCTCTTGACATCCTGTTAGTCTCTGGTCAGTGAGTCCCATATCTAACTGTGAAGGTAGATTTAAAAAGTCAGTTTAAGGGCAGAAATGACTGGTATTATTATGCAACCATATTTTTGAAGCCAGAATTCAGAACTCTGGGTCCAACAAAGAATTTTTATGTTATGTCCAAGGTCAAGAAACTATAGTTTGGGTCCTGAAATATTGGAATTATTAGAATATATGTGGAACAAGAGGGAGAAATTATCTAAAATTAGAACTGCCCCCAGAAAATCAAAGACAGTCCATGTTTGTTATAACACGAGAGGTAAGTGCCTGTTCTTGTAAGCAACCTAGATTCCTGACCAAGCTCTGTCATCAACACACAGAAACTAGAAGCCTGGGACCTGATGTCTAGAGCTTGGTTTTCTTCATCTGTCAAGTAGGAAAACTTACTCCCACTGGGGACATTATTTGAAGATCTTTGACATCAAAAATATGAAAATGCTCTAAAACAGGCTAATTTCAAGCTGTGTGACATTTTTGCTCATCATCTTCTAATTTTTTTCCTCTTAAAAATAAGATGTACAGGAAAAGAGCCAAAAGAAATACCTATTTGGTTTACTTGCTGAATTTCTGTGGTGTCCGGGAGGGGAAAAAAAGGGAAAGGTAAATAAATAGAGAATTGTAACTTTCCGTTTAGCTTATTAAAAATGTTAGCAATCCAGGGAAAGAGCGTTATGCTCATTTCAGTCAGTCCAGCCAGGATTTTGGATAGCAGGTGAGAAAGCTGTCCTATAAGTCTGCCCCCACCCCCGCAGGTTAAAATGTGGAGTGGAGCTTCCAGAATAGTCTCTTGCTCTCTCTCCCTCTTTCTCTCCCCCTTCACCTCTCCTTCTTTTCCTTTCTTCCAAACATAACCATCTTTCTTTGGTTTCAGACTGTGAAAGGTGGGATTTCGGAGACCCGGATTGAAAAGAGAATTGTCATCACAGGAGATGCCGACATTGACCATGATCAGGTAGGACTGTGCGGAGATGCTGGGCACAAGGGGTGCTGGGCATGGGGGTGCTGGACGCGAGGGATGTGGGGCATGGGGTGCTAGGCGCAAGGGATGCTGGGCGTGGCGGCCCCCGGGCAGCAAGCCTCTGGATGCAGCGAGTGGCTGGCAAAAGACACCTCTGCCAGCATCATCTCCAAAGAAACTCCTTTGCTGCTCCAGCTCTTAATCAAGAAGGTCAAAGGGAAGCAGAGCACAGAGGCCTATGGGGTGGGGTCCACAGATTGGGAATGCAAGCGAGTGTTGTGAAAGAAACAGACTTTAGACTCAAAGACTCGAGTTCAAATTCTCATCCTTACCATATTTAGCTCTTCATACTGTGCGCCTCTGTCCTCATCTAGAGGACGGCCATGGTGGCGTCTTCCCTCGAGGACATGGTGAGAGGCGGTAGACACAGGCTATACGGCGCACGCCTGTGTGGGTGGAGGTGCTGCTACTCCAGGCTGTGTGCACCCTCGCCCGAGCCAGGAGCCGGAGATGGTGTCAAAACCAAGGCTCAGTCTCAGCCCTTAGAGGGCTGTGCAGCTGAGGACACAGCTGGAGGGGAGCACAGTCTGATGGACTAGAAATCAGGAGACTTGAAACCTGATTTCTGTCCTAGATCTATCCCTAGCTTGCTGTGTGACCTTGGGCAAATCACTTTGCCTCTGATTTTTTTTCTCTTAAAAGAGAGTAGGTTGATCTAGATAATATATGGGCTCTGCAGTGATAAAATTCTATGTTTTTATGTTAATTAGGCACTAATTGTGTGCTACAAGCAATTAGAAAATAATAAGGTCAGAATTAATGTTCCCAATTCTCTGCTGGGTGAAGTTAGAACAGTCAAGCTGCAGAGAAGAGGGGGTGGAAGAGATTGTATGCAAATGCTTCTGGAATCATTGACAGGAGTGCTGGAGCAGTAATTCTGTGGCCTTTATGCTGAGTGCCTTAAAAAATAACTGAGCTGCATTGCTGACAGTTCCCTTGGTAGCAGGGTTGAGACTTACACTGACCACCCTAGGCCCAGGGGTCCAGCAACAAGGCTGCAGATCCCAAGTGGGAGGCCTGGCAGCCTGTTTGCCCCTGTGCCATGGACCCTGTGCATGTCCAGCCTGCACCCACCTGCTCAGGCTTTGTGATGTGGGCCCCTGCTCTGTGCACAGTCTGTGCCAGACAGCAAGAGCGGCGGGCAGAGGTGTTGGGGTATGCAGTGAGATAGACCTGAATTGATTCCCCACTCTGCCACTACCTGGTTGTGTGCCCTTGAGCAAGTTATTCTGCTCCCCAAGCTACAGTTTTACCATGTAAAATAAAGATAATCATAGCTTGCTATCAAGGTTCTTGTGACAAAGGGACAGGCACATTTGCTTGCTCAGAGAGATGCACCAGAGCCCTCGGCCTCCTGGGCACAGAGGTTTACGTGGCAGGAGGAGACAGGTTGTGGTAGGCTGGGTGGGAGGCACTGTGGGAAGGATTGTTGAGGAGACGTAGCGTGGTGCAGCCTCACCGAACTTGGTATAGGCCAGAGACCGAAATGAGGACTTGCAGTGCAAGCAGATGGGGCTGGCCAGACAGGGTCAGGGAGGGAGAGCAGAGGCCTGTGGAGGTGCCAGTTCCAAGAATGGCTTTTCCTGGAATTAAGAAATGGAAAGAGGATGTTCCCTGTCTGTCTTAGAGTTCTTAAAAGCCAGGGGCGACAGTCAGCTGGTCAGATCTAGCTTGAGTGTTTTTTGATAGGGGGACCTGTCTCAGAATGCCCAGTCCACCATCCCGCAAGGGCTGTGTTGAAGGTGCTCTGGGCTTCAGGCTCAGAAACTTGCAGCCCTGGAACAGTAGTGATATCGATACTCTTCTTTCCCTCTGCTCCTTTGGATTTTCTAAAATGATCAAAACAGCCTCCCCCAAACTAAATGATAAAGAGGGGAAAGTCTGACAGACATAATACCCCTGTTGCATTACTTACTGGCTGTGAAACATGAGGCATTTTAGTCACTGAATCTCAGTCTCCTCATCCATAAAATAGTAGTAATGGGAATGAGGACAGTAGCTATCCTGATCCACGGCACTGTTGTGAAGATGAAGCCAACAATGATGTGCTTAGGCTGGTGCGTGGCATATAACAGGCTTTCCCGCTCTCCCTGTCTGCTACTTTAGCCAAAGGTATTTCTCTCTTTTTCTTTTGTTTTCCTCTCCTGTCCTGAACTTCCTGGATAACCTGCATTGAACACAGATTTTACTTTGTCCTTTCAACTCACTTCTTTTTTTTTCTTTAAAGATTTATTTATTTATGCATACAAGAGCTGGGGTACAGGACAGAGGTGTGGGGGGGGTGAGAGGATTCACCAGAGACAGAGTGGGGAGCAGAACAGGCAGACTGACGAAGTACACTGCTGAGGGGAGCAGCAGGCAAGTCAGGAGAGGTCTGCTGCGGGTTGACCCTGTGGGTTTCTCCCTGGCCAGCCAGGGATTGAACTTGTGCTGCAGTGGCTGCAGATAGCTTCATAGGTTGTGTCTTAAACCCTTGTGCCACCAGGGAGGCTCTCAACTCACTTCTTTTTTTTTTTTTTTTTTTTAATTTTTATTTTTCTTAGAATGGGGTACAGACCACATGTGCAGGAGGGTGAGAGGATTCACCAGAGATAGAGCAGGGGGAACAGAACAGGCAGACTTGTCTAAAATACACTGCTGAGGGGAGCAGCAGGCGAGACAGGAGAGGTCTGCTGCGCCATGTGGGAATCTCCCTGGCTGACCCAGATCGAACTCGCTCCGTAGAGGCTGCGGACAGCTTCACAGTGCTGTGCTCAACCCTCGGCGCCACCAGGGGAGGCCCTCAACTCACTTCTTGGGTGAATCTTCGCAGGCCCGCCTGGCCAGGGGCAGCTGTCACCCCTAAAGTCCCCTCTGACTCCTTACAGACAGCTCTGTGTCTTTAGTCCAGGAGCCACTCTGTGCAGGCTGGGTGGGTGCTGCCCTGGCCTGCAGACAGAAGGATTGAATTTGCCAGGGAAATGATGTCCTCTGACCCCTGCCTTCCCTCACCAATGGGCTTTTCCTACCTGATGGGTGTTGTTCTGTCTCTCTCTCAGGTGCTCGTCCAGGCCATCAAGGAAGCAAAGGAGCAGCATCCAGACATGTCAGTGACTAAGGTGGTCGTCCATCAGGAGACCGAGATCTCTGAGGAATGAGCTCAGGTGTGGACTTTTCCTCCTGGGGTGGAGGTAAACAATGCCACCTCAAACAGCATTGGACAGGAAACCTGGACACTGCAGGGGCCGTCTTCCCAGAGGGGGCCACAGTGATGAGGAAGACATGGGAGGTTATGAAATATTTGGCTCCAACTAAAGGAGCTGCTGCCCTCCTGCCCTGGGCAGTGCCAGCAGTGTTGGGGAGGTGGGGGTGCCGGAGATACCCCAAACTTGGGTTAGCGCCCCTCGGCTCCTAAATCTTCATGCCTCCTCCTGCTTCTCCACTCGGCCCCCTCTCTGTGCTGCTCTGCTCTCTGCACTCATTAGCTTCTTTGAGACTAAACCTAGGAGGTCCAGAGGAGGGGAACAAAACCAAGAAAAGCACCCAAGCTGTCTGGAAACTGGGGTCCTAGAGTTCAGGGAAGAAATAGCACAAGTTCTGGGGCTAGACAAGAAAGTTGGAAGAAGGTAGCTGCTTTTAGGGGGTCAGAGATCTGGATAGATTCTTGCTGAAAGTATTTGACAGACGTCTTGAAGAAGCCAACAGTCAACTGGGGGGGCCTGGACCCACAGGCCACTCAGACCTGTCACTGCAGCCATCAGAACTTCGACCTGGTAGCTATCTCTTTTGCAGATTTTAAGTTTGCTTCTCTCTCTCCTCTAGGAACTATCCTACCCCCAACTCCCTGCCCACCTCCTATCCAAGAGAAAACCAGCAAAATGATAAAGAAAAAGCAAACCCGCTTCAGTAGGACTTCAGACTTTCAAGATTATTCATCAGAAAATTCTTTCATTTTCTATTTGGAGTTTATAACAAGCATCTTCTACAGAATCTCATTGATCCTTTCTAATACCTTTTCTACATTGTGATACCAGAAATTGTTCAACTTTTCACTCTTTGACTGTTTTTAAAATAGCTTTTTGGTTTTTATGGGTGGTTTATAACCCCATTCAACCTAGCCTCTCCCCATTTATTCCAACCCAGATACTGACAGAGTCCACCGAATTCTTTGGGAAGTCCTCCAGAGACTCTGTCGGCTGTGTTGGGGGCCAAAGCCAGCTTAATGGGGCTTCCCTGCTCCTTCCCTTCTTTTAAATCCTTTGAATGTCAGCAGAAACTTCATAAACCAGCCCTGTCTCGGAGCCAGTGGTGTGACTTCACCAGAATGTCCTGCGAGGCAACTGTCCTGATCCATAGAACCAGGAAAATGTCCCTGACCCCTTGTTGATGGTGGTTTTGGTGAGACAGAGACCTCTGCTAAGAATGTATTGTTTTTCCTCCCTCGCCTGTTCTTTGTGGAGCTTCTTTAGAACAAAGACGTGAGAAGTTGCTTCAGATAGATCTGATACTGTGAATGTTTGAACATATCTGTGGCCTTCACCCTCCTGCCCTCCCTCTTCAACTGCCCTCTTACCTCATCAGAAGCAGTGGCTCTGCCAAGTGCTCCCCTCACCTTCCATCTCAGGAGACCAAAACTCACGGAAAAATAGGCACTTTTGGCCAAAAGCTGTAATGGCACATTTTAAATAGTGATTTGGGAAGGAAAGTTAATGAGTTTTTTTTTAAACAGGTTTTCTAGTTTTGGAAATGTGCTCTTCACATGGGGGAATGAGTGGAGTTTACCTCCGTCAGTTCCTGCTTAAAAGTATTTCTAGGAGACCGTCCCTGGGCCTCTTGCGCTAATCCCGGGTTACAGGGAGTGTGACTCACACGGTAGGGCGGACTCCTTTCTTCTCCTCACCAGCACCTGCCTGCAGGCACCCTTCTGGTTTTAGGGCCCACCCTCCCCACAAACCCCACATGACGGAGAGCCTAAACACCAGCTCCCCTCAGTCCCTCTTGCTATCTGAGGTCTGTCAGGTTTTATAGGCTTGATTTTTGTGGTGGATTTTGGGTTTGATTGTTTTAGTTTGGTTTGGTTTTGAAAATGATTACTGATGCTCCTAGCCCACCATTCCTGATAAAGATCTGGGGGCATTTTGGCTCAATAGGATTTCTTTAATCTTCTGGTCTCCCGTAATCAGATCTGCCCGGAAGTTCTTAAGAGCTTGAATTCTAAGACCGAAGTGAACTTCACGAGATAGATGGTGGGTCACAGCCGGCAATCACTGGGGGCCCAGGGGCAGTGAGCAAAAGAGAGAAAAGCCTGAAGCCTCTGTTCCCCACAGCGGGGGCCAGTGATGTGTCCAGAGCCTCTACTGATGGGGTTCTGTTTAGACAAACTCCATTGGTTTGAACTGATTTCAGGAATGTGCGTTTCCTTAGAGCAATTATGTGAGACCGTGACTAACCAGCAGCAGCTCCCCCTGGGGAGAGGCAGGAGGATTTGGGTGACTATGTGACAGGCCTGGGGAAAGGAGATCGCCCCATCTCAGGAATAGACTTACAGCCTGTGGGCATAGGCTCTGAAATGGGCCATGATGCCAGGAGCGGTGGCTAAGTTAAAAACCCAGCTCACACCAACAAGCAAATCTGTGAGCTTGCTCCCCAACGCCAGCTGTCCTGCTGAAAGCCACTTGGCTCACAAAGCTGAAACCTATGGGACAAAAAGGATGGCAGACAGGAAGAGGACACAGCACATCCACTGCTCTGGCATGTGGAATGTTCTGTATGGTCCGGATCAGGGGGTCTAGACTTTCCCTCAGCGTCACCAGCTCACTACACTTCTCCTCTGCACCCCCCCTGTCTATAAATTGGATCAGGAGCTCTCTAAACACCCGCCCAGCACTGAGAGCTGAGGTTTGGACAGCCAGCAAGAGGGGTGTCCTTCCAAACTTCTTCCCCTTTTCTCCGTCTCTGTAACAGATCTTGGGAGTTGGCAATTGTGTGGATTTTTTTCCTTCCTGCAATTATGTGTGTGTGAAGAAAAATAGACTCTGTCCAGGTGGATACAGTGAGGAGGGGAGAAGAGAGTTTCATTTCCAGGGTTAGAGACTTGGCAGTAATTTTCCAAGTGACTCAGACACACCACAGTAACAACTCTTGCTGCAATTTTATTTTTATTCCACTTGAGAAATAAAGATTTCCTCCAAGCCACACGAGGTCTCTGCCACCCACCCACCCACCCAGCAGGATTTATAAGCTGAGGGCCACAGAGCCCAGTCAGGGCCTGTGGGCCCCTCCCAGAGGCTCCCCCACCCCAGTGTGCTGCGGAGCAGCTGCGGGCGAGGGGACAACATCCACGAGGGAAGTGGAGCCAGAGCTCCAGCCTGGCCCACACCGAGGAATGCTCCAGGAAACGCCTGCCAGGAGCTCAGCCCCAGCCTGGTTTTTACAAATCTCTCTGAAATGTATTATTTTGGTGACAAAAATGAAGGAGCTTTGTAAATTTTTTTAAAAATTATGAATCATATCAAGTAGTTTACATTTCTCGGCAAACTAGGAACAATGGCAACAGAATCGAATTGGCAACATCCTTAGATTAAATAGGCAATAATTAGGCCTGCTGTTTGGCCTTCGGTAGTAAGGAAAGTGGTTGTAGTGTTTAGTATGTGTTTGGTCTTGCTTCTTGTATTGCATTTTTCAATAAATTTAAAAAAAAATTGACTCTGGGAGGATTGATCAACCTTTAAAGTTGTGTTCTGCCTGCAATTTGGGAAAAATTAAAATAGGTAGGGAGACCCAAACTCAAGCCATTTTCTAAAGTAAATGACTCAAGGTGGCTAAAATGCAGCTTCAAAGTTGTATAAAAGGATTTCTGAGAACTGGCAAATGTTGTTTGCCCACAGGAGGGAGAGTTTGCAGCCTAGGCCACAACAAAGGAGAGGAGGCTGCTGCTCAGACCGGTCTGGGGAGAGGCCAGACCCTCAGTCTGAAGGCATTGGCAGTAAGTAGTGCAGCCCTAGTGGCGTGTGCCCTGCACGGCTGAGGGAAGGAAGGGGTCAGCGTGGCGGGAATTAAAGGCTCAGTCCCCAGCCGAGATGGCAGTGGAGGGTCTCAACTCTACCCAGTCCAGATGGCAGTGGAGGGTCTTCACTCTACCCGAGGCCCAAGCCCCATCGCCAGTGCCACCTTGAGAGAGCCTGCCCAGCCTGTCATAGCCCAACCTACCTTCCAATCCCCAAGTCCTTGCCCACCCCTCTGGGTTTGCCAAGATACCAGGTGCATCTCCCCATCACCTGGCCTGGACCTCCTGCCCCCTCAGGTACCTGTTCAGGGCTAAGGCCACTTTTGGAGGCTGAAGGAATTCCTGAGCCAAGTCATGCTGATCTCCAGACTCCACACCAAGACACATTCTCTCCAGCTTAGAAAACCCTTGTGCAGTTGGCATCTCTGTGCCGCCATGCAAGTCATAAAGCCTTGGCGGCTGCTGGGACCAAAGCATCCATCCCCAGTCTGGTGTGATGAGCATCTACTAGGCTCTTGGTCGGCTGTCATGGTCCATGCTTCAGCCTCACAGGGGCTGCCCCCTGCTTTTCACACCTGGGCACCCAAGTGCCCTCCGCCTCCTCCCAGCTTTGCATAACCTCCCAGACTGAGGCGGTCCAGCCTTGGCCAGCTTCGATGAGCACAGTCGCGTGCTGCTGGGGTCCCCAGCAGCAGCTCCCCAAAGCCGAGGTCCAGAGACTTGGAATGTTCGATGCAGGAACCAGAGGGCTGCACGGTGATAATCACATGGCCGGCCTGGTTGCGTGGACCCCAGGGTGGGGGCAGCCCCGGACCCTTCAGCGGGTAGCTGTTGAGCAGGGCAGGTAACCCCAAGCGAGGATTAGCAGGCTCTGAACGCAGACTCCGCACTGACGGCACGGGTGAAGTACCCCGATGCGGGGACAGGTCCCAACTTTCTGGCTCCCCGCAGCCTATGGCTCGGGGAGTCCTGGGGCCGGGGCTGGGGAGGAGAGCGCAGTCCCAGCCCGGCCCCTCAGGGGGGCGGAGCGCCTGAGCCCGCAGCACCCCCTGGCGAAGCCGTCGGGTCTCCAAGTCACGGTTCTCGTAGAGCAGCGTGTTGGCGCAGATGAACACGAACAGGCCGACGCCCATGACCACCGGGCCCAGCAGCCGCAGCCGCTCGTGTGGGCCGTGAGTGCGGCCGGCGCCGCGGCCCTCGCGTCGCAGCTCGCTCGCCGGGGGCGCGCTGGCGTTGGCCGCCCTGGGCCCCGCGGCCCCCGCGCGGTGCGGCCAGTAGCCGGCCACCGCGATGCCCATGCCCACCAGCACCACGAGCGCGCCCAGCGCCGCGAACGCCCCCGACGGCGAGCGCAGCCGCAGCCGCGCCCGCACCCTCAGAGGCTCCGGCGGCGAGCGCGGGCGCCGGCGGCGCCCCAGGCGGCGGCCCAGACGCGAGACGCGGCCCTCGGGGCTCCTCCGCGCCTCCCCGCGGCCTCCGGGGCTCCCGGCCGTCATGCCGCCGCCGTCTGCGCGCTCTGCGGAGAGAAGACGGGGACTAAACCGACGGGCCTGGGGTCGGAGCGCCAGGTTGGGGACCCAAGCCCGGGAGGGAAGGTCGGGGTGCTGCGCCCGGGACGCTTGGAGATCCCTGGCGGCCACCCCCGGATCTTCCCGCGCCGCGAGAGCCGCCCCCGCTCGGGTTTTCCGCAGCGGAGCTCGGCGCCAGGGACGCGGCAGAGCCCGAGCCGGCCCGGCCCGCGCGCGGAGGGGAGGGGGGGCGCGCGCCGCTCCCCGGTGCATCCTGGGCTGCGGGGCTCCGGCCGCCGGCACCCCCTTCGCCAGCCCGCGGGTCCGGGCCCCTGGAGTTTCGGGGTCCCCAGCAGCGGCGTCTCTAGGGTAAGTCCCGGCCCGGCTCGACCTCACCCCCGCACGTGGCCGCGCCGTGGAGGAGGCGGGGGGCGGGGCGGGGGGCGCCGGGTCCGCAGGGGTCGCTGGGCCCCCCCCCCGCGCTGTACATACCGCGGCGGCGGAAGGGGGAGTCACCGCCTCCGACCTCCTCCTGCCCGCCCCCTTCTTCCAGAACTCCGCGGCCAGCGCCGAAACTGCAGCAGGAGAGACTTGAGCGAGACTCCGGGACGGCCTCTCCGCCCCGACCGCGGCCGCCGGGCCCAGGACGCCCCTGACCCGCGCGCGGAGGAGGCCGGACTCCCGCCCGCGGGCCGGGCGCGGCGGGGCTGTCGTGGGGGCGCAGGCCCCGCGGGGCGAGCTCCCCCGCCGCGCTCCCCTCCGCCCGGGTAAGGCTGTTCCCAGGTTGCGGCGTTTCCAATTCGGGCTCCTCGGGATGAATCATCCCCTTCCCACCGCTCGGCCTCCTTTCCGGCCTCCTCCTCCCGAGGCCCCAGCGGCCGCGTCCCGGCAGGAGCAGCGCCGCCCCTGCGCCCCTGCGCCCCGGCCGCCGGGGCCCGGCCACCCGCTGCAGCCCCTCGCGGCCGCTGGTCCCGCCCGCCTGCGGCCTGAGAACGGGGTGCTGGCGCGGCAGGGGTAGTCCGGCTGCGTGTGGGGTGCTGCCCACGGACGAGCGTGCGGGAGCTCGGGGCCCACCCCGGCGCCCCGGGTCACGGGAAGCCGGCCAGGACCTCGCTGTGGGTCGTGCGTCCTCGCTGGCCCGTCTGGTTTCCAAACAGCTGCAGCGCTGGAGCCCGACGGGCCCGGGCAGGAGACCTTACTCCCGCCCTCTCCCCAGCCGCACCCCCGAAGCGCCAAGCAGGACACCCCATCCCTGCCGCTGACCCTCGCTCCGAAGGCCCAGGGCCTAGCGTGGAGTCGTGGAGTCCAGGGCCGGGTGTCCACGGAGGGGGACTGCGGCCCAGCGAAGCGGCGGAGTCTGCCCAGGTCATTCCGCCACCCAAGGCGGGGGAGGGAGGGTCCCCAGGACCCCACTGCAGGCCTCCGGCCCCTCTCCAACGCCGGGCACTTGTCGGCCCAGCCTAGCAGCTCCTGGGAGGCCGGTTTCCGCCTGGTCTCTGAGCGGGGAGCCCTCCCCGCAGCCCGGGACCAGGGAAGTGACCACCCGGCCCCGGCCAGAGCGGGCGCCCCAGCCCCAACTTCAGGGGGACCACCCCTGAGCCTCACATGTCCCTGCGGGGAGGGAGCGAAGACGTGCTGGGAGGGGACAAGCCCAGAGAGGCCGAGACTCCGGAGGGCAGGAGTCCCGCCGGGGACCCCGGGAGGCGGCGCTCGGAGGCCCGGGGCGCAGGCCCAGGTCAGGGACGTTGCTCGGGCCCCGGCCCTCGGGGTCGGCCCGCGCCCGCGTGGACACCCCGGCCCGGGGTCGAGGAAGGACCCGGCTCCCGCTCCCGGGGCCTCTCCGGAGGGAGGGGCCAAACAAAAAGTTGGGGAAAGTGGGGGACCAACCCTGGGACCCTAGTTCTGCTCACCTGGCGCCGCCGCGCCGGGGTGGGTCCGGGTCCAGTCCTCGCGCCCGGGCTGGCGGCACGGCCGCCGTCTGCGCGGAATCTGGGCCCCCGCGCCCGCCCCGGCCCGCGCCCCGCCCCGCGCCGCCCCGGCCCCGCCCCCCGGAGCCCCGGAGCCGCGGAGCCCCGGAGCCCGGCCGGCGGGCGCTGGAGGGCCGCTGCCCCGAGGGCTGAGCGCCACAGGTGAGCGCTCTGGGGGCGCCCGACGGCGCGGAGGACCCGGGAGCCCGAGTCTCCGACTTTCGTGGTTCGCAGAGGCCTGAGAGGGCGCCTCTCCCCACGTGGGGAGACCAAGAACCCCGAGTCCAGGAGCCTCCTGCTTAGCTCCGCAGCCTGAGCGCGCAGCAGGATTCCGAAGCCCGCACGCCTGGCCCGCGCTTCTCAGCCCGCCTTCTAGGCGCCCGGGCGGCCCCCCCCGCCCAGCGCCGCCCGGAGGGCTTCCCGGAGGAGGCGGCCGGAGCGCCCGCGCGGGACCTCGCGCCTCACCTGCAGGACGGGCAGGCGCCTCGCGAGTGCGGGGAGGAGAAAAGTGGCCCTGGGGGTGAGGGGCGCAACACAGGCGCAGCCGGCGCCCGCGGGCGCCCAGAGGGGCACCTCGAGGAGGGGGACAGCAGGGGCCGCTGAGTTCCCAGAGCCCCGGGAAGCGAAGCAGAGTCGCGGGTCCGCCCGGCCTCGCTCGTCTCCCCTAAAAAGATGCGCCCAACCTGGAGTGGGCAGGCGGTGCTTGTCCCAAATAAAGAGGGGGGTCCTGAAGCCGGCGGGGCCCCCCGCCCACGGGCCGGCAGGGACCCGCCCAGCCTCTGCGCCCCGCCCACCCCTAGAGGCAAGAATGTGGAGCCGAGCGGAGGGGGGTCGGCCGGCGGCCCAGTTTCCATGATGCGGGGGGCGGGCTCAGGGCGGAGGGGCGGTGCGGGCGGGTTGCCAGCTTCCGCGCGGGGCCCCCCTCGCTCCCGCAGCCCGGCCGGGCCCCTCGGGAGGAATTTCCGGCCTGGGATTGATTATCAGGCGCCCCTCCCCCGGCCGCGGAGACCCCCCGGCTCGCGGGGGCGGGGGAGGGGCGGTAATGAGACCCGGCTGTGCGCCGGGGGTTGGGGAAGTGGCCGGCGGGGCCCCCCAACCTCGCCACGCGTGGCGGAGCCGGGACCCGGCGCTCCACCTCCGCTAGGCCTCGAAGCCCGGCTCCGGCCCCCTGGCTGGCCGAGGAGACAGCGCCCCCGGGCAACCCTCGCCCGGCCCTCGGGGACCCGGCGTCCTCGGGAGCCCCCGGGGCCACCCTTCTCCACCCGCTCTCCCTGCGGGTCCGGGAGCGGAGCGCGCGCGCCTCCGGCCACCGCGTGGGACGGCGGCTCCCGCCACCTGGGCTCGGGAAAGGCGGCGCCCTGTGCCCACCCAGGCGGCGGCAGCCCCGCCCGCCCCTTCGCTTGGCACCCCCCATCCGCCCTGCGCCTCACGCACTGCTCACACCCTGGCCCGCCAGGCCCACTTGCCCTCACTCACCCGCCCTCCCGCATCCGCCCCGCTCCCAGGGCCCGGCTGCCAGTACCAGCTCCGGAGGCCAAAGCCCGGACAGGCCCTGCGCTGGTGCCCTGCGCGCCCGGGCGGGCTCCCCTGGCCTGCGCCCTCCTGCCCGGCCCTCGGCCCTCCCCAGGCTGGCCCTTCCCCCAAGCCGGGCCCTACTCTCAGCAGCAGACCCCTCCAGGGAGTCACCGGGGCAGGGTGACCAGCCCCGTTTCTGCTCGGCCCACCTAAGGCCAACCCCAGGGGTCACCCTAGGGTCCCTCTCGGCCCTTTGCATCTAATCCCAGAAGTCCTGTGGCCCCTGCTCTGCCGATTTGGAATGAGCCAGTTCTCCCTGTCCAAGGGCACCCGGCACCTCTCTACCCTGAGTCTGAACCCCTCTCCGAGCCCTGTTAAACCCTGCCTGGCTCCCCGGGGTTGTCCAAATGGAACTGAAAACCCCTTTTCACCATAAAGTGGCCCCGCCTCCCTCACCTGAGCTCTTCAGGACCCTGCTCACAGGCGGGCTGCAGCCAGGCCTTGGGAGTCCAGTGGGCGTCCTGGCTGCGCCCCCACTGGCTGTGAGCTGAGGGAGGACAGTCTGTCTCCCACCCCGGAGCCCATGCCCACCCGCGATGCGGGCCCACAACCAGGCCTGGGATGGCCAGTCTCGTCCACCCCGAGGCCTTTCCTGGTCTCTGGGGTCCAGCCCAGACAGCCTGAGTAAAAGGATTCAGGGCTCTGAATGGCAGTGTCCCCTCTGCCTCCCCCGCAGCGCTCTTCTGGAGATTCAGTAAGAGCAGACGTGAGCACGTCTGCTGCGTGGTGCCCTGCCAACAGCCGCTTCCTCCTGTTTCAGGCTCGAGGGCACAGTGTGGGGGCTGTGGACACCTCCCCTAAGGTCATTCGGGGTGGTGAGGGAGAGATGGGTCCCCTTTCCTAGATAGAACCCCTTTAATTTTCTTAAGCGTGAGGTCAACGTTCTGCCTAATTCACAGCTGAGGAAGCTGTAGAGAGACCCCCCCAGACATACAGCCCACTCTCTGCAGAGGGACACCCCTGGGCTTGGTCTGGCCCTGTGGATGTGCAGGCGTGTGGGCGCCAGGGGCCGCCATATTGGGACACCAGCTCCCTCCCAAGTCTAACCTGGCCTCCTTCATGAACCTGAACCCGGAGGGCCTGAACGGGCGTCCCCGGGGGGCAGGAAGAGTCACCCTTTCTCCCCTGAGGTTCTCTGGGAAGCAACGCTGGATGCAGTGGCGCTGGGGGGCCTCTGCCCGAGGCGAGGCTCGTGTCCCCTCCAGGAGCCGCAGCAGGGAGAGAGGCTGCCGCCCCCTCCAGGTCACAGCCGGTGAGCAGCGCTTCCAGGAATGCATCTTCTCCAGCTCCACTTCAGCAGTGTGTGCTGTGCTGGGCACCCCAGATTTCTCACCCCAGCCCCCAGTGCTGTTCTCAGGACTGTCCTCATCCTGGCCCCAACTGAGAATTCAGAAGTGGGTTCAGAGAGAAGAGCAAGCCCAGTTTTGATGATGCGGCCTGGGCCCAGTGCGTGATGGGGGGGCAGGGGCATCATGGTGCAGCGGCCCTCACAGCGCCTGCCTTGCAGCACAGGAAGGGCTGTGTGCCATGCCCTACAAAGCGACTGGCAGCTCAGTCCCCATGCCCTGTTTTGTAGGGGCGGAAACCAGTGCCCAGAAGTGGGGGGCAGAGACTTGGGCAGGGAGGCCCAGCTGTAAGTGGTAGAGCGCGGTTTCGAGTCCCAGGGTTCCCAGGAGAGGCTCAGGCCCTCACAGGACTTGGGTGTGACCTCCAAACCCGTCTGCCGCCCAGAGGAAGCAGAGCAGCCTGGACTCTGGGGGTTGTCTTGGGCCACTGGTAAAATCCTTAGGGAGACCGAGCTGTGTGTCTCCCTCACTCTCCGGAGCCCAGAGGAGAGGCAGAGGCAGGGCCGCCTGACATGGAAAGTCAAGAGAAGGAGGCCCTCCCGGGGCACAGGCCAGACCAGCCTCCCGCCAAAGTCCTTAGGCACAGGGAGAGCAGCAGGAACCCCTACCCCTGGCCCCCCTGGGCCCCCTGGGCCCCCAAGCTCTTGAGGGTGCCTTCTTGATGGTGCACAACGGCCCTGGGAATCAGGGCCTCTAGAACCCCGAATCACACCCGCAGAAAGAGGTTCAGTGGGTGCAAGCTGTCCTGTGTCACAGCTGGGCCAAGGCAGAGCTGGGGCGCAACCACGTAACACCACACCTCCCACGGGTGTGACCACGGCGAGGCGGTTCGCCATTTTCAGCCTGTTCTGTCCTACAAAACGGGGACGGTGGCAGCACCAGCGTCAGGGGCTGTGACGGGGATGGAGCTGGCAGTGACAGCGCGCGCCGTGCTCCGGCTTTTCTGGATGCCACCTAGTTCCTGCTCATGAGTTTCCTCACCTAAAAATGTGAAAGGGACCTCGTGATTTAATCTCTTCAGCTGTCTCCTCGGGGCTGGCAGTTGGGGGCCAGAGAGAACCCATCCCTGAGCCCTGTTCAGGTACTTTGGGGTGGGGGTGAACAGGCCCATTCACCAAAGGCTGGGGGGGCAGCATATGACCCTATATGGGGGGCAGGCAACAGGGAGAACTTCGTGGAGGTGGGGACATTCCTGATGGGTCTCAGGGAGTTTTCCAGGCTGTACAGGGGGAGGATATTCCAGGGACAGCATGAGATGTGGACATGGGGTCAGGGCGTAGGGGCGGGAGAACCCGAGTGCAGAGCACCTCAAACACCAGGAGCCTGGGAGAGGGTGACAGGTCCCCACAAGTGACTGTCAGCCTTGAGGGTGGGGGTGGACCCTGGGAGTCGGGTGATCTCCTGAGAGCTTGGAGCGGGGCTGGGGCCTAAAATGGGGCTGTGGGCACATCCAGCCACCGGCCGTCTCAGCCCCAACATGTGTCTCGCTGGGGCTGAGGCCGGAGCATCCCTGGGAGGACCTGCTCCCGCATTCCTCTGGGGGTGCTCACTGCAGGAACCCTTGGGCAAGGAAAACCTCAACTGAGGAAATTAAGTGTGCGCGTGTCCCCCATTCCCTGGAAACGAGGGGCGCGGCGCCCTGTGCAAGGAGGCTGCCGTGGGCAACCCTGACAAGACATCTGCGCGTGGAAACCACCGAGAAACCTCCCGGCGTCCCTGCAGCGCAGCGGGAGGGCGGACGCCCGGCCTGGGGTGGTTGTTGAGCAGCAGCTGGTCGTGTGGTTTATTCCAGGGGCGGAGCAAGGACCTGACTGG